GCATGAAGGGCACCGTATCAATGCAAGTTGTTGTTGACTTAAGATTGGACCAAATGGCCTTTTACTCTGCTCTAACATTTGACGTAATTTTATGAGTAAGGGAGGAATAAATCGGTGGTGCAAACATGAATGGGAAAGATCTCTGAAGGAAAACAAATAGAGGAAACTGGGAATGCTATGTAGTAAGTTGTCTGAAAGTATACTAAAACATCTTCTCGAGTATCAGAATATTCATAAAGAACTCAAACTTTGATCTTGGAGTTTTGGATGTCAGGGTTGAGACTTTGTTGCAGCTTCGTAACAGAAACAAGGTTTGTTGTTTCTGTCTCTCTCTATGTTAGATTGTGATTCCCGTGGTATAGTATCATTGTAGCTCTAACCACTGGGTATAATTTAACAGTTGGCTAAATTATAGGATACACCCACATTACACTTAAGGAAACATCACACTCAACAGTGTTCTCTAATCCAGAGACACATTGCTCACCTCTACCACCTCCTCATCTTTCTTAACAGCCTGTTACTGTATTAAATATGTACTGTATTTTACCAGGAGTAGTTCATGCAGGAATGTATTAATACATCTTAGCAATCAGTGAATGGCTCCAGCTTCAGCATTCTGGACTTTGATGTCACTTGAACCTATTGATATACACAGTCACTCCACTTCACAGTCGCTTCCTGTGAAGCACTTTGAGATATCACCCTGTGAAAAATGCTATACTAAATGCAAGAATTATTATTGTTATATAATACATTGTGTTTATTTGTTTCCATTAGCATAATGTTTATGACATGAAAAATTCAATTAAAAAAAACAAGGCTGTATACTTGGAAGCAATTATGGCTGTATAACGTAGAGGCAGTTACGAATGTTGTGTCGATCGGCACAGAGAAAGGTTCATCCTGACTTTCATTGAAATGAAACCCATTAGCTCAGCTGGGGCAGTGCAAACATTTACTGCCCTCTAGTGTCCTTGTTCCTTTTCGTGGGAGATTCATCCCAAATGACTTAGAAAAATACAATGTCATAAATATTCTGGAAAATTGTTAATACCCGTGTGATTTTATGTTTTTTTTAAATATACCTTTACAGATTACAGAGTCACAGGGTACATCTCAAACTGAAACAAAATATAACTCTATTTGTCCTTATCCCTTGTATCTCCCATGGTGCAGATTTGTACCTTAGAAATGATGTCCCTCTTGTCCTTTCTAGTTTAAGGAGGTTTGTATGGACATCTGCCTTTTTTCTCTATTCCATCATCATGTGTCTAAAACACATCAATTACTTCAGAATCCTAATCTATGCAATCTTCGCCAGCATCTTATCAACCAGATCCATTTCACCTGCTTCACTTTCTGCCAAACCCCACTGGTCAGCAAAGGACTTCTAACACACCCAGCTCTGACTTCCTTTGCATAGAATCAGTGTGAGGCCTTCCTCTGGGCCACATTAATTGGAATGAGTTTAGGTCTTACTACAAGTCCATCATTGGGATGTTTCCAGGATTTATGGCGAAAGAACATAGATGCTCCTCAAAATTTGTGTAATTCACATTATTAGATTTGGTGTAAGAGGTTTTCTTTCTACTCAACCAGCACATCCAATGATTGCCTTCTGCAGTGCTTCCTCAGTGACTTTGCAAAGCAGATCATGAAATGGTGGGTGGCAAGATGACAGTGTAGATGTCCTTGGATCCATACATAGTCCATGTTAGAACACACTATGGAATCCCCAGTTTAATCAGTAGAACTGCTTCCTGGCCACAGGCAATGTTCTCAACACAAAAAACAACACCTAGAATGTATGCATAATTTCTGTAGGACCATTTCTTGGATGATAGCACTGTAAGAAAAATGAAAAGTACACTTTTTGTTTATGCTTTGTAACATTGAAAGCCCCATTTTCCTTGCAACATTGTTATTTTTACATGGAGTTAATTTAGAAATACAACAACAACAACAACAAGATTCCATTTATAAAGCGCCTTTCACGTCAGGAGGACGTCCCAAGGCGCTGCACAGTTGGGTCATGACAATAGTACATAGACTACTTCCATGTTAACTCCTGACCTGTGTCAGAATTGCTTGCTTATTGCCTTGTAGTTGAAGAGCATACGATGAAACCTCAGGGGGGAAAAGCCATTCAACATGGTGGTAAGTTCCTCCATGTGTCCTTGTTGTTAAACAAAAAGAAACATTCACTCAAATTGCATCAGATTTTGACATGAAGTTATAGATTGAATCAGATTGAGGAGATAGTGAGCATCAAACATATCAAAGATTCCCAAAGGCTGGATTTTTAAGACTAAAGCATGTGTTACAATGTCCTGTGCACTGGACTGGGCCCTTGAATGCATCCCATGCTCACAATAGTTGCTTGGTCCTAGGGTGCTTTACAAGCCACTGCTTACCTTTTTGTTATATTGAGCTATGAGTTTCTGGTTCATAAGGAAATCTGTGTAACCCAAGAAAAAAACCTTCTGCCTACTTTTGGGTTGGATTAAAATTCCTTTACTGTTTACATTTTTGAGCTTTCTCCATTACATCACGCCAAACATACCTGATGATATAATTTAATATTAACACAGGATGTAAAGCTGTAGTATCACTTTTCCAATGACCTTCACAATCTCTGGGCTTTTCTATAAATTCAGAACTAAGCAGGTATGAAATTCAGGCTGACTGAAACCTCAGTAGGAGGATTATTACATTGATAGCAGTTTATTTTAAAGTTATCATTCCAGGAAATGGTGCACAGAATTCACAATCCAGATTCAAACTAGATCAGTTTTGAATCCTGCAGTAACTAGACCTGCATTCTACAGGAACTTCCCTCTTATGTGACTGGATGTAGGTTTGCATCAGAGGGATGTTCCTGTGAGATAGAATTGGATATTCACTTCATACCTATTTGAAACATGTCTGTGTGCAAATTGACAGTTGTATTTGCCTACAAAACACACAGCCATTACATTTTTCAGTATATCCTGTATGAAACGCTTTGAGATGTCCTCTGACATGAAAGATACCAATTCAAATGCAAGGATTATTATTATTATTTCCACTTCTGGTTACCAGCAGGAATCAATAATTACGAACACTTACGATTATGATTGTCATATTTTTGAACCCATTTGCCTCTGTTTAACGGTAGATTGTTTCAGTTCATTATTGACCTCCAAAAGGCCTCAGAACAGTAATGCTGCAGCTGAAAAGAGGCACTGCCTTTAAACATATTGCCGCAAATAATCTTAGAGATTTCTCATGGTGAACAAGGTAATGAAAAGATCACCACTTTTAGAATCATACAGTGACACAGCCTGGTGTCATGCACAGTTTGATGCAGCGTTTACATTATATTATAAGGTGTTTGACACCAATTGTGCCATCATGTTGTAGTGTTGCAGAAAAACAATTGCCACCATTTCCTAAAAACTGTGTCCCCTTTGGAATCTCTTTTTTTATTAAATTAATAACTTAATCTTATCTCATTTGAATGCAGAACTCTGGCTCAGTTCTTGATTGGTGACCATCCACTCAATTGTAAATATGGTCAATATGCTGTGATAATGATGTGTAGTTAATGTAGTGTATGAGGGGAGGAGAGCGGTTGTGAATGCTACAGTATTTGGTAAAACAAAACCTGAGGAAATAAGTGTTTCTATACTCCACAGATTACAGGAGTCCTGTAGCTCAGTGGTTAGACAGACCACTTGCCTCACAAGTGAAAGACCTGGGTTTGATTCCTGGCAGGACGAAACCTTGGGCAAGTTTCCTTACTCCTCATGCCTGATGATAATCCTTCAAAAAAAAACAAATAATAAAACATTAGTCACTTCAATCCATGACTGTTTGTGGAACACTCCTGTGTGCAATTGGCTGCCGTGTTTCGCCCACAAATATACAGTCAATTCACTTTACAGCCCATTCTGTGAAGTGCTTTGAGATGTCTCAAAGATGTGAAAAAGCAAATGTAAGATTATTATTTATTTATTATTTATTATTATTACAGAGTGTTCTCAAAGGTAGTCTACACATTATAATTCACTATAGATCACGTGTTACAGGGGTGTTCTTTATTTGTAATCCACTTGCTACACAATGTTCACTAAAGATAGTCCACACGTGTAGCACTGGTGGCAGATAGTAATAACAACAACAACAAAATTACATTTACAGAGCATCTTTCATGTCTGGAGGACGTCCCAAGGCGCTGGTCAGGACCCGAGCAACCATGGTTGTCTGAACATGCACCAGCCAGAGTCACACAATTAGCACAAACTATTCTCAGAATTATCTTTCAGCAGGTTTATTTGCAAGTGTTGCATCTCTTACTGTGATATACCATTTGAACGGACCCACTAGCAAGTTGGCCCTGGAGCTGGCTGGTTGATGCCCTCGACCCGCAATGTGGAACACACATTGCGGGTCGAGGGCATCAACCAGCCAGCTACACTACCCGTCTACACTACTTCATTTAGTCAAATGGTTTACAGACATCATTTTATTTCACTCCACATCAACCAAAGTGCAGTAGCAAATTGTTCAGAAAGGACAGCATGGAGCACTCCAATAGATATCAACGTGCAAGAGACAGTTCACAGTAAGAGTGACGTAGACACAATTGCTGCTTATATACAGAGGATGAAAATTTGTTACTAATGTGTGAAATGAACAGACTCAATAAACTGCTTCTCTGTGGTGCTGATACAACAGGCAATGCACTTTGACAGTCATAGAACCCTTGGCCTAGAGAGCCTGGTGATTCTGGAGTTTACTTTCCCCAGTATTGATGAAGGTTATTTTGGTCAGTTCGGATTTGCGAGCTCTTCTCTTCTCTTTCGTTCAATGCAGCATTGATTCTGCCCTTCTCTCCTGTGTGTGCCGCTTTCTGCTGTGCTGTTCACTGAGTGTTTTGTGGTTCTTCAGCACGCTCACCTGCTAACTGTTGCTCTTCTTTCTTGTGTGTTTCCTTTGTCTCACTGTTCCCGCAGATACAGCAACTATGGCAGCAGCAGCTACACCCCGTCACGACCTTACCCTGGGCTCAGCGCTGCCACCACCCCAACCTCTCGCTATGGGACCGCTAGCTCACCTGCTCCCGAGACTAAACCTGACAGGTTTGTGCAGTTATTTCAACCCCAAACCAGGCCTGAAACCACAATGTGTTTTATTTTTTTGGGGGTGGGATTGATATATACCTTCAGCCTCTCTCTGTACTCAGCATTGCATGCCTTGTATTGTAATGTTTTCAAACTGTTTGGCCAAGAAGTATCAAGGAGACAGAACTTAATTAAAAACTACTACGTGACAAGTGAGGAAGGAGGATATTTGTGGGTCTGTGAAGCATTTAACCTGTGGTTCCAGTGTTACACAATGGTTTCTTTGTTACCTTCTACCCTAGGCTTAGTGCTGTGTTACATCTCCAGCACCGAGCCATATCACTTTCCTGCGTCGTCCTGAATTCCCACAGCGCACCACTTTATTGAAAAGAAAATTGTTGTAATTTGTTACCAGCCTTTACTCGGGGAGAGCTGAGACATTGTCTCTTCCTTGTTCAAGGTACAATATTTGCTGCATAGGAATCTCATTCAATTACACCAGTTATGCCTTCAGGGGATGGCTTTCTCCACACACAAGGAAATTACACTGATCATGAGAATGTTGAAAGTATATATAAAAAGTATTAAATTGATAGATATGGAATATAGGTTTTAAATCTAGAAGGGGTGGGGGGGGATTGCCTCACGCTAAGCCTTTTTTATGTTATCATTGTCTCTTCAACTACCTGAGGCAACATGTCTAGAACATCAGTCGACTATGGAATAAGATTACTATCCTAACAAAAATTGTGAATAATAAAATCTTCTAAGTGGTGGAATTTGTGACATTTAATAGTGTGTTGGATGATCATAAATAATAAATAACATTATTAAGGAAAGTTGAAGAAATTTTGGTTGAAAGCAATATGTCTTTCTAACCCTGTTGTTGACGACAGGTTTGCAATTGACAACCACCCCCACCCCCTCTAACTTTGGGGGAATGGTTTCTCCAGCGGGCCTCTCAGAATCAAGAACCCACCATCTTGGCAGCCGCAATTGGCTGCTGCATTTTGCGCACAAACTGTACAGTCAATTCACTTTACAGTATATTCTGTGAAGCTCTTTGACACATCTCGAAGACATGATAAGGTGCTATATCAAACGCAAGAATTATTATTATTATTATCTTTGTTTTTAATTTTTAAGTGGAAGGCACGATTTTGAAGTCCAGGTGCCAAATTGTTTCGTAGCTTCAAAATGTTCATTTCACAATTACTTTTCCAATATCTGGCCAAGAAGCGGAAAACAAATCTCCTCCGCAGCCTGATTAAAGACTTCGGACAGCGCCTTGGGATATCCTCCCGACATGAAAGGTGCTATACAAATGTAATTTTGTATTGTAGTGATATAATTTCCCCTGCCTTGCTCCCCATTTGTACTTAATTGGATCAAAAAATTCCTGTAATAGTTCTAATCAGTAACACCAAACTCTCTTACTCTAACTACTCCCCCATTTTGTTTGAAACACAGCCATGACTCACTGCTGAAGATTTCTATTAGTTTACACTGTGCAGACTCTCCAGCATTTGAACATTGCAATGTGGTCTCCAGCAGACCAAGCCAATGCTTTGTTCTTGGTCAAACCCAATGAATGGGCCCTGCCATGATTATGCCCTTTCAGAGACGTTGAAAACCACTGCATAGACCAGCTGAAGACACCGGGTTTTTTTTATTTTTGTTAAGTATTATAACATGGTAAGGCTGACAATGGACATCGAATGAAGAGTGTTAACCATAGAACTTTACAGATCTCAAGAACGTTTTTGCTCTCCCCCGACCCACCCCCCACCTCTTTTGAAACATGTTTCAAAACATATCTCTTTGACCACTCTCCTAGTCATCTTTCCCATCCCTCGGGTCACAACCCCAGCTCAGATGCACATCCAGCCAGTCAATGTGCTTTGAGAGATCCTCCTGATGTGAAATGCAGTACATAAATATAAAATAGTATTGCATTATATATGGCTCATTGTGTCTGTGCTGACTCTTTGAAAGAGTAATCCATTCATTCTCATTTAGCTTCCCCCCCCCCCCCCATACCTCTGGAAATTACTTATTTTTAGATATACAATTATAGAGATAGGTGTATAGTTCTCTCCAGAAATAAAGTATGCAGAGTTATGCACAGGTCTTTTAGATACCTGACGGCAAATGTTTTGGCACAATTTACGTCAGTCAACGTGCACGCATCCGTCAATTTACTTTATCAGAGCCGATATTCTCACACTGTTAGTTCAGGTTTATTTATAAACTTAGAGATGAAAACCACGTAATCTTAATATTGCTGCTGAAGATGTTTGACTCTTCTCCCCCCCTCCACTATTTTAGAATTTGGAATACATGACCTTCACTTCAATCAGAGCCTATTTGTCTTCCCCCGCAACCCCCCCACGCCCCACCCCTGACTCCCCCCACCCTTTAAATTGAGAGCATCATATCGTTGCCTCAACATGCTGAGGAACACAGTCTTATCAGTCTTATCCAAGGTCACGTCAGTCCGCAAACGCAACCATTACTGCAATCGCCTTCGCCTGTTAAGGGCCTTTGTCTTCAAGGAGAATTACTTGGCAAACACATTTGTTTGGGAGAGAGAATAAAGGATTGTGTCTCCTTTTGATGTACTGTTGTAGTTTCAACACATTTGTATTGCTCGCTGGTGAACAATCTAAAACATTTTTGCCAAAACATTTTCATGAAATTGTTGCACCCTGTCTCTTTAACATGAGTTAGTTGTAAATCGACTTGATGGCGTTGTCTGAGGCAATATATGCTCTTACTGAAAGAGTTGCAAAATATATGCATTCTGAATCTATGTTAACTTGAAATGGGATTTGGAAACATTTCACACTCAGGTGTGAGTGACATAGACTTGTTGACATGCCCAGGGTATAAGAATGCAATTTTTGGAGAACATAACGCAAATTATCTTTCACCGTTGCTTTGTCTTCATCTCTCAAGCTAGGAGGACACATAGACTCTCGAGCAGCTGTTTCCTCTGGTAGAAGGATCCCAAACTAGGGAGCATAACCTACAAATTAGAGCTATTCTGGTTAACAACAACAACAAGATTACATTTGTACAGCACCTTTCACATCGGGAAGACGTCCCAAGTCGCTGGACAGTGTACAGCATTTCGACCCAAGCTGTGGTCAGGGAGGGAGAAGGGAGGGGAGGAGAGGGGAAAGGGAGTGACCAATGGCATGGTCGAAGAGGAGGGTTTTGAGGCAGGACTTGAAGTATGTTAAGGAGGGGGCGAGGCGGAGTGAAAACAACTTGGGTTATGTACAAAATACTGTCCCAAAGGAATAGGATACAGAATTAATTGGTTTCAAGAGACCTAAATGAGAAGAGATACGGAAATTAGATTAAAAGATAATGCCATGGTCTAATAAAACTATGGACAGGTTGCAGGTTGAATGGCTATTGTTGCTCCTATCTTCCACAGAAGACAATAACACACGTGGCAGGGTGGTGCAACGGGGTACTAGAAGCACTCTCGTAGTTTGCCAAATGGGCCATTCTTCAAGTGTGAGGATAACCTTGACATTCAGTACATTCAGGCTATTGAACAATCTGGCATTACAGCCAAACTCAATCCTGCCCTCACATGACTTCCACCTACACTTAGCAGCAGAAGTCACTGAATAGCCAGAACCTCAATGGATTTTTTGCTGAGTCCAACTCTCACATCCCTGCTAAGAACAGTTCATTTAGCACAGACCAGGGATCAAACCTGACACATTATTTGTAGGCATGGCCTTACCATTTCCCCACTGAGTCATTGAGGGAAGAACGAAAAGATAATTTGTTAACAGTAAAATTCTATCTGGTCACATCTGTACTCTGATCTGCATTGCTTAGTTGTGTGTCACATGGCACTTCAGTAAATGTCAGAAGGTATAGCAAGCTGAGGCCAAAACTAACAATACCGAGGTACATGACTTTAGGAGAGCAAACTCTGGAGCTGGAGGGATTATGTGAGAAACAAAATCAGCAAATAAAGGAAAATTGAGTTTTTAAGACCGTCTTAAACATTATGGAAAGAAAATATATCAACATGAGCAGAAAGTAAAACATAGTGAGCCCAAACCACAATAGCTCAATGAGAAGGTCATAACTAACCTGTTGGCCAAACAGAAATATTTTAGTAGGTACAGGTGATGGTAGTCAGGGGAAACTTAGTGAGTCGCGGATATCTAGGAGCACAGTATTAATGAGGTAAGAAACAGTAGAGAGGGAAACTGCAGATAATAATAATAATCATCTTTTCATTTGATATAGCGCCTCATCACGTCATTGAGACATCTCAAAGCGCTTCACAGAATATACTGTAAAGTGAATTGACTGTATATTTTGTGGGTGAAAGCCAAGATAACACAAGAGGATCCAAAACCTTGTTTCAGTTATGTTAGTGACAGGTGACGTGTTGGAAACTTGTACTTTGACCTTTGTTGCATAGATATGTGTCACATGGCACTACAATAAACGTCACAAGATATGCCAGGCTGAGGCCAAAAATAAGAATACAGAATTTCTGAATATCAGCTTTCAGAGAGCAAACTCTCTGAGAGGATTGTGTCGGAAACAGAATCAGAAACACGAACAGAGTGAGTTCCTTTAAGGGAAACCTTGGGAAAAGATAGAGAAAGTCAAAGATGGCAGGTGTATGAAATAACTTTTTCACATCAGTTTCTTTAGAATTCAAGGCTTATCAAATTCCAGATCTATGCATTTTGGCTTGGGGAACCTACAACATCAGTGCACATCGGTAAAACACATGTTTTCAAGAAACTGACATTTTTGTACGATTGCCAAATCTAGAAAAGATTCCTGAGGATTGGAAAGTAGCAAAAATAACTCAATTTACAGTATTTAAAGATAGAATAAGGAGAAATACCTGGAAACCAGACCCGTAACTTTAACATTAGTTATAGGCAAGGTCTTTGAAACAATTTAGAGATATTTGAAGCTTGAAATACTACCTAGCATTAGTCTAGAAGATCATTTTATCTGAGAATGTAACGTAAAATGAACTTAGAAGCTGGATCTTAAAGATAACTTAAGTTTTATAAAACATGTTATTTCAGGCAATGATTGGGATAGGCCCTGATGAAGTATTGACAGTTGTTGGTCATTCTTCTGAATAACAACCATGGAGAAGCCACTTTGTTTGTCACTTTGTGGAACACGAGTATTGTTCAACAGTGGGGGAAATGCTGATTGTCGGAGGCGTCATGATACAGATAGGTTGTTAAACTAGGGTTCCATATGCATGTTAAAGATATTGTGAGCTCTTTGAAACCTCTTCATTTGGCATCTTTCCTGTGTGCTGAATGGAAAGTAGCAGATTCCACAAGGCTCCACTTGTTTCTCAATCCAAGCAGCCACTCACCTGTCGTTTCAGTAAAACTAGAGCACTTCAAACCACAGTCGAGCAATAGTGCTATTAAAGCTAGGTCTGAGCGGCATTCTGCCAAGACAGCTACCTTTACATGGTGCCAAGGATAAAGATCAAATAAGAACTTTTTGAAGAGCTGGCATCTTGTGGTTATTGATGAAGACCTGAGGAAAGTGCTATTCCATATTGTTTGTAATATGCTCTTGACATCACTGAATAAGACTCATGTGAGCCAGGAGGAGAGTAATAAAAATTAGAACCCGCTAAAACCACTACCAGCAATAAAACATCTGTTCTACAGTATAGAATGCTGGTAGACTCACAAGCTTCATCTCTTCATAAATACAGTAGGTCTTGTTTGCCTGTTCAGGTGGACATTAAAAACACAATTTGAAAAAGAAGGAGGTTCCTTCCCTGATCGTGGCCAACAGTGATTATTAATGAAGACCTGAGGAAACTGCTGTTTTGTGTGATACATTCTTGGCGTCACTGAATTTCAGTGCCTTGGGATGTCCTCCCAACGTGAAAGATGCTATATAATCCATTTGTGTTATTGTTGAATAAGACTCTTACTAATTGGTTATGCATTCCATGTTTTTTGCGAGATCCCTGTTGGTGTAACCGGTTACATATTTGCTATAAAAGTTAATTGCAACACTTGAGAGTAATTGCCTATGAGGGACTTTCAGGCATTCTGATATGTTAAGGAGCTATAAAGGCCAAGTCCAGTTTTAAGGTTCTTTCTGTAAATGAATGAATGAATACTTAGTGTGATGAGGACAGTAATCTCCTTGGATTAACTGAATAACAAGAATTATTGTATTTTGTACAAGGGATGAAATTTGTACTACAAACAAGTATGGGTGATTTGAATTGAGCTCGTTCCTGGAGGTACCTTGTGCCTCTTGCTTTATAAGATAATAGAAACGACAGCACATATGAAAGTCATTCGGCACATCAAGCCTACGTTCTGCTGGATCCTTGGCTGGAACTAACTGCACTAATACTAATTCCCAACTCTTTCCCCGCACCCTTTCATCTTGTTCTTCTTCAAATATTTATCCAATTCCCTTTTATTTTTGTGGGAAAGGGTGCAGGAATTCATGGTTTCCGAATCTATAAAGATCTCCATCAAAGAAAAGAGAGCTTTGTGTGGAGATCTTCAGTGCACAACATCATTTCATTGCTTGGTCCACAGGCCAGCGTTGGGTGGTCTTCTGTCCTCATCATACCGACAACATCAGGAGTCGCTTGCAGCTGAGCGAGAGAAACGCCGGCAAGAGAGAGAGGAAAGACTGCAACGGATAGAGCGGGAAGAAAGGAACCGATTCAGGTAAGGCATTGTGAGATCAAGGATATAGTGGAAGGTAGATTGTAGGGCGGAGGTACAAGGCCCCGGAAGTGAGTGAATGTAACCACTTATATTTTCTGAATCAAAAAAATGGTTTGAAAGTTGGCAGCTAATTTACGTAAGGGAGCATGAGAAAGTATGGCCGCAGAACTTTATAGCACAGAAGCAGGCCGTTCAGCTCATCATGCTTTTGCTATCTTCTGAAAGAGCTATATGTTAGGTCCAATTCTTCTGTCTCTGCCCCATACCCCTTTATGCTTCTCCTTTTCAGAAATGTATCTACTTCTCTTTGAAAAGTTAATAAGGATTCTGCCACAACCACAGTTCCAGGTTGGGCACTCCCAAGTCGTCCATGTAAAAAATAATTCTCTTCACCTCTCCCTTTGTACTCATAGGAATTACCTTGTGCCCTTTAAATACTGACTCACCGAGTATAGAATCGTATTAATATACAACACAGAAGAAGGTCATTCGGGACATCATGTCCGTCTGGCTCTTTTAAAGAGCAATCCTTTCAATCCCTTTCCTCGTACCCCTGTTAGTTTGCTTCTTTTTTTAGATATTAATCTTGTTTCCCTTTTGAAAGTTAATATGGATTTTGCATCAACTGTTGCTCCCAGCAGGGCATTCCATATCCTAACTACTCAGTACGTGAAAAATATTCTCCCCATTTGCCCATTTGCTAACTCTCTTAAATTGATGCCTTCTACATGCTAACTGACCGACCGGTGGAAATAATTTCTCAATATTGACTCATTCAAAGCCACTCATAGCTTTAAAAACCTCTCCAAGGTGACAATCCTAGTTTGCTCTCTGAACGGCATGTTTAAGAGCAGACTGGAATTAGTGGTGGTGGCCATCAGCAGGTTACCCATTGTGCTCTCAGCTTTGGTGCAGGAATGTCCAAGATAGAGGACGTGATGAAGTTATTTTGTGAAAGAGGGAGTACACTCTGAATTTAAAAGAAAAAGAGATAAATGAAGCAGGCGCAAGTCTCCTTGGCTCACTGACAGAACTATTGTGTTTTAGGTAACTGCAGTTGATCTCCTGTTTTCCCTAAAAAAGTGGTTGACAGAGAAAAACTTGTACAACTCCCGTAAGTGTGCAGAAATTGGAGCAGTGGAGTTGTTCGCACTAGACCAGCAGGTTGATCAATTAAAGGTCAATGAAAATGTTACCAATATTAAAATTACCCGGCTTGTACATGTGTAGTTTTTTCCTGAATATTTTACAAAAGTACTATTTGTGAAGTACTCAAGCATTCGGCCAAACTATAGGATCTAAATAGGTTGGCATTACATCAGGAGCTCTTCAGTATAATGGTAACTTTACAGAAACGTCCAGTGCTTCTTTTGTGTGAGCATTTGGCTGAGATAACTTGTTGGAACCGAAGACCTTCCAGTAATTTTGCGTCCCCCGAGGATGATAAAGATACTCTGAGACGTTACCTGTACCATTACTTGGATGAATTACAGTGCAAGGGTAGCCTGCTGTTTTAAGTACAAAGCTGGCAGTGGTGTAAGGAAGGAGTCTTTGCTTGCGTGAATATCCATGTGTACACGTGGACAATTATCCTCTAAGGTCACGTATGACCAAATGTTAAAAGTCTTCACAGCCACGCGATGCTCAGATTCTGTTTTTGAATAAATTCTTAGAGAATGTGCAGGGCAAAGTGAGAGTTTCCATTGAGCTCTGCCTGTCTGTTCCAGTAGCTTTTGCTGCTCCCTTTGACAACAGTTCTTTCTCTTTCCTGTCTTCTAGTCGGGGCTACGTAGAAAAAAGAGAAGAACAGAGATTGGCAAGAGAAGAAAGGTTTGCATTTTGTGTGGGGGTTTTTTCCAAAAGAAATGCTTTTATTGTCATCTTTATCAGAGGTGCAAGCATTCCTTTGCTTTTTGATTTGGAAAGGGAGTAAATGCTATTTTTGAGGTTGTCTTTATAAAATCTTTATTGCATTTTTCTTTTTGCCTGGTTCCAGCACTGGCTGTGGGAGATGTTTGTGTGATTCTGAAAGCCAGGGATGGTCGCATCTTGTTCCCATTTCTCATAGGAGTGACAGGTCTACTTTCCCCTTTCACCACTGGTAATAATAATAATTCTTGCATTTGATGCAGCATTTGATGTGGCAATGCAGCAGGTCCTCACATGATGGTGTCAGGCTCAGTACTGGCATCAGCACATCAAGCTGTTTTGCTTCTGCAAGAAAGAAGGCAGTGGTTGTCTTATTGATGGTATTTCTTAATAAGCTTCCTGGATAAGAAATCACATCAGCATTCCTATCGACCCACAGTCACTTCATTCGAGAACGGACTGGTTCAAGCTGAGTTCCCACACATTGACATCATTTGCACAACTCCGATTCCTTGTTATGGAATCCTGTTAAAAGAATACTCACTAAATATAAATAGATCGCTTTTCTCAGAAAGGTACTGTTCTGAAGTAACATTACAGCCTAGGATTAGCACAACCCAGGACAAGAACAAAGTGATCACCTACTCATACCCTCTGCTCACCCTTAAATCAGCGGCCCAGATAGCACCTCACCCATGTGTCAACAGCAATACAATACAAAATACATTTATAAAGCGCCTTTCACGTTCAGAGGATGGCCCAAGGAGCTGAACAGTAGATTATGAATCAAACCAGAAGACCACTATTTGGAGAAAGATGTATTTGACCTTGTAATGAAATTGATTTGCTCATCAATGCTCAGTGCTGCAGATTGGAAATGTTGTCCACTTTTGTCTCCCAGCATCATCCATCACATACTTCCATCTCAGCTATACCAAAGACATAAAATGTCCTTCTTCCCCACCAATCATCAAATGTTTTACAGCATATGAGGAGGTCATTGGCCTATCTGGCCATCCACTTTTAATCCATTTCCCTGCACATTCTCAATCACCATCATTTTTGGGGGGGATAATTTGGGTGTCAGTATTATGAGTGAGCTTACAGTTTAGTGCCAATATTTATGTAATGCTGTGTGTATGTGTGCTAAAGTTATGCCCGTCACAAACTACGGTCGAGACTTGAAATGGGAAATTTCAGCAGAGAAGGAAGCTATTCGATTCACAGCACACTACTGTAAATACTGCCATCCTATAATAGTGGAGACAATTAAAACTCAAGTTAATTTAGGAGCTTTGCAGGTGACAAAGAGATGAGATTTACATGTCATCAGTCAGAGCTACATTTTGATTCTGGCACCAGAATCTAAAGCCCAGACTCTCTGTGGCACCCACATTTCTTGGAAATTAATGTACTTCCTATTCAATGATGGAGTTTTCAATTCTGTCGATTGTAGCTAGTCTGGTTTTGTGGTTGCTTTTATGTGATGGTAGAAGCACATATTTACAGTCAGTTCCACACGAATGACTGTTGGGGAAAAAAACTAGATAAAACTAAATCTGAAAACGTCTTTGGAGGAGCCAGGACTGAGAGTTATTTGAGCGCTAATGTTTTAAGTATGAGGAGTATGATTGGTAGCAGGCAGTAACAAACAGTTCAGGAGCACTGTCCATGCAAATGCAAACCAGATGTATTTTTCCTTTCCTGAGCAGTCTTTGATGAACAAAGCCAATGTGACGTAGAGTTGCATACCACTGGAATAAACGCAGGTTCAGGGAGGCAAGAAAATGTTTAGAAGGTGGTGAAAGCTTGTGTGTTCATGTCGTGCTGAAACGGAGGGAAAAATCTCTGCTGCTAAATGTCTGGGAGGAACTATTAGAGGGTTTCAGCCTCTTGAAGTCTTTGTGCAGATAATCTCTGGATGTGACCAGCTCAGATGCACTTTGGCCTCCTTCATCTTTCTTAAGGTTGGCTTTGAGTTCAGCCAAGAAGGGGTTTGCTGTGACAGAGTCCGCAGGCTCGGTAATGCATGCAGAGAGCCACAGCGTCACGCAGCATTGATAGCTGAGCCTCTTGTGGGCTTCTTTTCAGATACAAGTACGTGGAGAAGCTCGCGGCGGAGGAGTACGAGAAGGAAGCGAGGAACCGGGCTCCCCGGGCACGCAGCGACCTGTCCTTGAGCCTGAGTTCGCCCGTGGCTCCATCGACCCAGGCCCCAAAGTCCGTGATTCCCTCGTCTACAGAATCTCAGGAGGAGCCAGAGACACCATCAGCCACGTGCGATTCCCCGCAGCCTGTTGAATGTGAGTACCGGGGACAGGGGGTGGAGTCTACTTGATTCATGGTCTGGGTTCGTGTTTAAATAGACTTTCAGCATTGCAGCTATTATTCAGGTGAAGTTGCACACGTGTGACTGTAATAATGATATAATAATAATAATCCTTGCATTTGATATAGCGCCTTATCACATCGGTGAGACGTCTCAAAAGCGCATCATAGAATATACTGTAAAGTAAATTGTCTGTATATTTTGTGGGCGAGACTATCTGCGTTTAATGCTTTCACTGTCAATGCACAAAATAAGACTGCTGTGAAATTACAACCTGGTCACTGAAGTACACGCTGAGCACTCAGAGGGACTCAAAATGTCACATTCATAAACTATCATTCATAAAAGTCAGAATTGTGGCTGGCGTTCTGTTTTTCGAGACATTGTTTCAGTCAAGAAAAGACCCAAACAACAGCACCTTACATTGATATAGCACCCTTCACGTAGGGTAAGTGTTCTGGAACACTTACAGTCTGAAAAAAAGTCATAAAACAAAACCTGGCCTCAAAACAGCCTGTGCTAGCATTCATTTGATCGTTTATTTGTAATGTAGCAAATCTATTAGTGAAAGGTGTCATTTCAAAACACAAACCAGAAATGACAATTCACAGGTTGCAAAATGCCTCAATTTCAACTCCGCTTTTGCCATTTTGATTTTCAATGTCTTCATTGTTTTTTTCTCTCCTCATCATCTGAATGCTTTTTACTCATTCTCCCTTATACAAGATATGATTCCACAAGTGTTGGACATCTTTCAGTACCTCTCCCAAGTGAGTCTTATTATTCATGTGTGAGCTTCGAGAGCGAGTGGTGACTAGTGAATTGACCACAGGAGGGAATCACAGCCAAGTCTGATCCTATCCTCATCCAAAGTCCACATACATGCCCCAACAGCTCCTCCAGCTGATATCAGCTAACTCAGAGAGACTGGATTTAAACTAGCAGCTTTTGGGTGTGTATGGGCAAGGGCTCCTTGGGCAGGGTGTTTACTCACTATACCAGTGGGAGAGCCCATGAGATGCAAGGGAGGCAATTCAAATGTTTTTTTAAATATTATGTTTTACCATTTATTCTCAACTTGCTGTTTAAGTGCTTTGAAATGCCCCCCACCCACGTGAAGAGCGATACGTAAATGCAAATTGTTGTTGTTTGACTGCTCTTGGCTCAAACGGGCAACTCTGACATAGATTGAGTCAAACAGTTGTGTATGGCCATTGGCACAAGTGTACATGTTATATATTGGCTTAAATTAACATTTTTTAAAAAAATTATGGGAGCTGGACCAGGGCTTTATCAAAAGTTCCTTTATTCATAGTTATTGATCTCTTTCTATTTTAATTGAATGAGATACTTTTTCCAATCATATTAGCACGTTCTGCCATGAATTGAGTGCAGGTTTCAATTTAAGGAGTTAGTCACAAGTATAACTGGTCATTCTATGATATGAAGTATAACCTGTCTTGTAATTGATTATCTTGAGTAATGAGTATTGACCTAATCATATAACTGCTGGATGGTCTGTTTCTGTAATTGCAAAATAACATGTAATAGGAGATGAGTAAGGACATTTGAGAATGTCAAGTATTCATAGGATGACCTGCGAGGTACCTGAACACACACCAAGTAGGCTATATTGTCCAGTTGAAAATTGAATGTCTCCTTCAGTGTTTTGTCACCTCCATGCAACAAAATATGTACTGTGTATAATGTGTTTCTTGGAATATGCAAAATTTAATGATATTCACATGAGGAAGAAGAGAATGGAAGGGTAAGGGAGTAAGTAAAGAGTAGGTGGAGACTCATGTGGAATATAAATGCTCACATGGACTAGTTGGGCCAAATGGCCTGTGTCCATACTGTACATTCTATGCAAAAATAAATTGTGTTTCTTGGGTTTTATCAGATCTAAGACCATCAGCAGGACACTGACTCATTTTAGAAATTGCTGTACCTGGTAATGGAAAATGATTAGGTTGGCATTATGGAAGGAAGGGGCCTTCAACATCCAAATCTCCCTTTGATAACAATAATATTAATTATCCTTACATTTGTGGAGTCCTGTAGCTATAGCTCAGTGGTTAGAGCACTCGCTTTGCAAGTGAGAGACCTGAGTTCAATTCCAGGCAGAGGGCGAAACCTTGGGCAAGTTTCCTTACTCCACACAGAGCCTAATAATCCCTCCAAAACAAAACAATAATAAATTGGTCATTTTCAATCTACGACTGTTTGTGGGACATTGCTGTGCGCAATTGGCTGCCGCGTTCGCCCACAAATATACAGTCAATTCACTTTACAGTGTGTTCTGTGAAGCGCTTTGGGACGTCCTCCCGACGTGAAAAGCGCTATACCAAATGCAAGGATTATTATTATTATTATTATTTGTTGTAGCAGCTTTCATGTCAGGAGGATGACTCAAAATGCTTCACAAAGATTTACTGTGAGTGGAGTGACTGGCTTTTCTAGGCAAATGTGGTGGACACTTTGCACGCAGCAATGTCCCACAAACAGACATGAAGTGAAAGACCAATTTTATTTGTGAGAATGTTGACCAGAACATCAGGAGAAACTCCCTTCTCTTAGTGCCATGAGATCTCTAACATTCACCTGAACAGACTGATAAAACTTGGTTTAATGTCTCGTTACTGCATTGGAGTGCCAGCCTAGACTGTATATGAGTTCCAAGTCCTGGGGCTTAAACCCACAATATTTTAACCAAGGCGAGATGCTACCAACTGATCCAGGCTGAACACACGATGATCGTGGGTCTCAATTTTCATGCCATGAGTTCTTTTTAAATTCCTACTGATTCCTTCCCTTAAATTCCTTCCCTATTCTCTCAGTTGTTCTGACTAATATCACTTCCTCATCAAAATTGATCCAATTGGCAGCAGCCAATTGTACGCAGCAGTGTTTGGTAAACAGAGGTGTGTGGAGTAAGGAACTTGCCTTAGGTTTTGTCCCACCCGTTAATCGAACCTGGGTCCTCTCGCTTACGAAGCAAATGCACTAACCACTATGCTACGGGACTCCATTGTCTCCATTGGAGATTAATTGGTCTCTCATCTCATTGTTATTTGCAGGAAGTTTCTGGTACAAATTCTTGAAGGCTTTCTGGTTATGCTTGAAGGCTAGTTGAGGAAGGGCAGGAGAAGGCTCATGTGGAGCATAAACACCGGCATAGACCAGTAGGGCCAAATGGCCTTTTTCTGTGCTGTATATTCTAATGTAAATGAACTGCTAGTTCTGCCAAAGTAATTTGATTAACCTTCCTTTAAATTATTTTTGAAAATTTCAATTTAATGCTGAGAAAACCCTTTTCTCCCCGTGCCTGGGACTATTTATATCAAATGCAAAGACAATAATAATTAAATACATTTCACTCTTATTATTAAATAAATCTTTCTATTGTGAAATCCACTTCATAAAAACAGTGAAGCAGAGTGCTATTTTTAGCGATTAGACCGCATTAGTCACCAATCTGCCAATGTTAGAAAATCAGCAGAAACCTGATAGACCTACATAAGACACATCAGTACGAGCTAGTGGGGGAGTTTGGCAGAGATTACTCAAAAGGACTGACCTTCGAGTTGAGAGTTGGAGACTCAGCTGGTCTCCAGATATGGACCCACCTGAGTGGGGAAACACTGGTTGCCAGGTGTTTATGAAAGTTTCCTATCCACTTTATTGTAGAAAGAAAAAAATAATTTACACCATAAAATCTCTGCTGCGTTCCTGAAAATATTTTATAGCCCTTGGAGTCGTTGGAGAGCAGAATTTGCCAGTTCCTGCAAATCAATGTAGTGAGAGTTCATCAGTGTGCCATAAAAAATGACAGGTCTCAGCTTGAAAAATAGCACCAGTGGATCCCCAGATATTGCAGTCTGAGGAACGGCATATCGAGAAGGTCCTATTTCTACATGTTTCATAACTATTGGGGGAGGGTGCAAAAAGCGGGGAAGGGCATTGCCTGTTAACACTTAATTTTCGCAAGTCAAACAATACTGGACAGGGTGCTGAATGCTGTTGTGGGACACTGACCCGGGATGATTTATTTCCCCCCCCCTGGAGGGGAGCATATATGCGTTTGGAACTCTGAATAATAACTGAGCAAATACAGAGGCTGAAAATATATCATCTGCTACGGTGACATTTGCTTGCAAAAATGCCCTAATGTTGGCCGAACAGTTTCTGGCAGCCATTAATTGTGGAGGAATGGCCATTTTTACAAATGCTTTAACTCTTCAAAGACTACATTGGTGTTCCGTTACTGTAAAGCGTTCTGAGATGGCGTGGAGGGCGCTATATAAATCCAAGTTGTTGTTGTTTTAAAAATAAAAAAAACTGTAACAAGATCCCATTCTGTTTAATTTCTTCCCAGTATAATGCAAGTGGCTGATTGTGTTTGCTTATTTTGGCAATCTTATTTTATAAGATTTAATATTACCATTTTACACTAAAATCCCAACCCCCAGCTCAGGGCCAAGTCCCTGACAGTCCCGTGCCTTGGGACATCCTCCCGACTGGAAAGGCACTATACATATGTTGTTGGTCTAAATTCATTTTTCGAGCTGTTATACAAAAGAAGTATGACCTGTGTTCTATGAGGTGAAGGGTTAAAGAAATGTCTATTCTTTTTGGAGCCGGGGAAATGATGGTTTAACCTCGTTTGGACAGGCGCTGTAAACAATCGGGTCTAAACTATGGGAGCCACTAAAGGATTTGTAAATAGCGAATCCCGGATACGTTGCAGCCAAACCTCTGGAACTCTGCTTGGGCGCCAACTTCAGGAAAGCGATTGGCATCCGAGAAGGGGTCCAAAATTGCGGTCATAACACATACAAGATTTGCTTGCTACAAATTGTTTGGCAAATTATATAAGCTTTGCAGAAGTGTTGCATAAAGGATTTAAACAGTAAACATCAGGGATTTAAACAGTACACAAGAGAGACTTAGCAAGACACATAGTTGTGGTTA